AGTTCTCAGGGGAAGCTGGCAATCTGTATTTAATTTTTTTTTTTTTTCTGTTGCAACTGGCAATCTGTATGTTAAATGTCATCTCCTAAGTATCTCTTTGAATCAAGTCCCATTTAAAATATGGACTTGATTTTATTTTTTAAAACACCGCATGGGCCAAGCAGAGCCTACCTCCAGGCTGGGCTCCGCTCTTGGACTCCTCAGCTTGAGGCCCTTTGTATAAGTCGTATCCCCACCCCACCAGGTAGTCTCCATGAATTTTCCAGACCCCTAATTGAACAATAAGGAGCTTGGGTGGGGTGCTCGTTAAGCCATTCAGCTGCTAACCAAAAGATTGGCAGTTCAAACCCACTAGCTGCTCGGTAGGAGAAAGATGAGGCAATATGCTTCCATAAAGATTTATAGTCTTGGAAACCCTATGGGCCAGTTCCACTCTGTCGTGAAGGAGTCACTACGAGTCAGAATTGACTCAATGGCAGTGGGTTTTGTGTGGAATTGAGCAGTGATGAGCTGGACTCAGGGAGAGAGAAGGGGTATAAAAAGACACATTGAAGTAGAACTGACTGTGCACCATTTAAGTGGGTGACTGCAGACTGCTCCAAAGCATCTGGTTTAATTGCAACACTATGGCCTAGGAGGCTAGGAGACCAACTGTGACATTCATCTCCAAGCAGACGGCTGCAGCTCATACTGGTTCCCTGAGGTCCCCGAGTACCAGTAAAGCCCCTGCTAGTCCAGCCCTGGGAGCTCTGGTAGCATAGTGCCTAAGGCACTTGATTGCTAACCAGAAGGCTAATGGTTCAAACCCACTAGCCGCTCCTCGGAAGGAAGGTTGGGCAATCTACTTCCGTAGTGATGCTGCCTCAGAAACCCAAGGAGGGGTCGCTATGAGTCAGGTCCAGCTCAACAGCACATAACAACAACAACAATTCCAACTCTGCCAAGCTACAGTTAGACCTGCTGTGCTCTGGGAACTAAATGGGCTTTAAGAGTCCGCACACCCTCCCCCCCAATTCAACTACAGCCAGAGGAAGACCTCAGAAAATCTGGGGGATAGAGCCACTGTTCCTTAGCAAACAATGCTAAGCAGAGCCTGGGGAGAAGCCGGCAAAGCAAAATGCAAAGGGGACAGAAAGGAAAGTTCTAGACCCTGGCTTTTCTGAGGTTTGGAGAGGGTCTTGTTAGCCTTTGAAGACGCAGGGTGGGTATAAGGGTTGGTGGCAGGTTGTGGAAGATGGCAGATCCAGGGCCCAGCCTAGCTCTGCAAGGGCCGTGCAGACTGGTGCGTGCACTGAGTTGGATGACTTACACGGCTCAGTGAGCACCCATTACACCCCATCCTCAGGACTGGCTGCCAAATGAAAACGCGGGGCCTCTAGCTAAGAAGTTATTAAGGATTGCAAGGTGGCACAGAGCATGGACTGTGGGTCCTCCAGGGGCCCCAGGGAAGCCCCACTCTGCTCTCGGCACAGGCAGTAACACGACCTGCGGTCTTTGCAGTGAATTTCCACTGCGGCAGGAGCCGGCCTCCTTGCCTCTGTGTCTGAAGCGGAAGCAACAGGATGGTCACCCTACTCTGGGAAGGCGATTTCAACCTCATGGGGGCAGGCGACAGCTTCTCTGTGAGGGGCCTTCTCTCCCGGGCGTCCAAGCAGCGACCCCCTCTGACTTTCCCCATCTGAAGATTTCACAGTCCCAACGGCTGAGGGCTGGAAAAGGACCTTCGGTCCCAACTTCTCATCTCCTCAGCTTCACTGAAAAGAAGACAGTGTTGTAACAGAAACTTCAGGGGAAGCAGGGCCTACTGCATACAGTGATCTACTTTCTGTTTATCTTTTAAGTAATGAGATGGAAGCTCCATGGTCTCTTTCCCTTTGCTCTGTGACTAGTCCTCTCTTTTTACCTCTCACCCCCTTCTCCTCCCCGCTCTCCCTCCGTCTCCCTCCCCCCCCCCATAAGTGTGTATGTAGGGGGTGGTTCAGAGAGGATGTTAGAGAAGACATGGATGATGTCAGCTGGGCTCATGTAGTCTTGATGGGAACTCGGTCACTCACTCCAAAAATGTTTATTCAATGCCTCCTCTGTGCTTGAACTGTGCTTGCAAGCAGAGAACAAAACAGAACCAAGTTCTGCAAAGAGCTGACATTGTAGTAGGGGATTCAAAGTCTAAGGAAATCAACAAATACAAGACGTACTATATACTTGGGTAGTGATAAGAGCTATGAAAAGAAACAAACAAAACTGATCAAGGTGTAAAGGGAACCAGAATGGAGAAGAAGCTATTCTAAAATGAGTAGTCAGGATGGCCTCTTGGAGGAGGTGACATTGGAGAATAGACCAAACAGAAGGAGAGAGTAAGCTGAACGGTAGCTTCAGGAAGAATTCCAGGCAGAAGAAAGGGCAACCGGGAATGTGCCTGGTGTGTTCAGGGTATTCCTACACAGGGCAGAAGACCTGTGGGCCTGGGGAAGAGAATGTGGGGCAAAGTGTAGGAAGAGAAGTGGGAGGCCACAGGGAGCAAGATAACATTGAAGATTTCCCTTGGAGCAATGGGGAGTATTGAAGACTTGAGCAAGTGTCAGGGGTCAACTTACTTCTTTGGGGATGGAGGGAAACGTGTTTATATATATATATATATATGTGTAATTAATACACACTATAAGTACAGAAGTAGTTCTGGTAGTGTAGTGCCTAAGGCATTTGACTGCTAACCACAAGGCTGGTGGTTCAAGCCCACCAGCCACTCCTAAGAAGGAATATTAGACAGTCTATTTCTGTAGTGATACCACCTCAGAAACCCAAAGAGGGGTCGCTAGGAGTCGGATCTGACTCGACGGCAGTTGCATGCATGTGTATAAAGTATAGAAAGCACACATCTCTTAAGTGTTTAGCTTGAGGCTTGATGGATCTTTACACACATGTACACCTGTGTTGCCGCCACCCAGACTAAGATACAGAACGTTTGCACCCTCTCCAAAGATCACAATTGATTTGATCCGATTTCTTAGATCAAATAGCTTTGGCTGATTTCAAATGTCGAATAAATGCTGTTACTTGGTGTCTGTTTTTGTACCTGCCATCTATCACTAAGCACGATTCCTGTGAGATCCACTTATCAGCAGTTTGTCTTTTATTGCTGACTAATAAGGAGCTCTGGAGTCGTAGTGCCCAAGGCATTTAACTGCTAACCAGAAGGTTGGTGGTTCAAACCCACCAGCTACTCCTCGGAGGGAAGACTAGGCAATCTACTTCCATAGTGATACCCCCTTGGAAACCCAAAGGGGGTTGCTATTGAGTTGGAATCAACTCAACAGCTGTGAGGTAGGCTGAGGGAGTATTCAGATGCATGAATATGCCACAATGTATGTACCCATTTGTGGGACGTGTGGATCGTGCCTGGGTTATGGCTGGTGTGCGTGAAGCTGCCATGAGCGTTCTCATCTGTGTCTCGGAACATAAGCGCTATCCTTTGGGGTGCATGCCTGGGTCACAGGGTAGGTGGATGTTTAGCTTTAGTGGACACTGCCAAACAGTTTTCCAAAGAGGTGGCACCATTTTTTTAAAACAGTCTTATTGTGATGTAATTCACGTACCATACAGTTCACTCACTGAAAGTGGGAAGTATGTTCAGAATTGTGCATCCATCATCCAGATCAACTCTAGAACATTTTATTGCCCCAGAAGAAACCTTGTACCCTTAGTTAAGGAGTCCTGGTGATGCAGCAGTGAAGGGCTCAGCTGCTAACTGAAAGATTGGCAGTTTGAACCCACCCAGTGGCTCCACAGGACAGAGACCTGGCAGTGTTGTACTGACTCAGAAATGAGGGGTCCCTGTGAGTCACAATCAACCTGACAACACCCAGGCACTCAACAGCAACAACCCCTGAACTGTCACCCCCAGTCCACCCCAGCCCTCTAGTCCTAGGCAACCACTAGCCCACTTTCCGTCTCCGACAGCTTGCCCGTTCTGGACATTGCAGATAAAGAGAATCATGCACTATGTGATCTTTGGGGATTGGCTTCTTTCACTAGGCATCATGTTTTCAAGGTTCATCCATGTGTAGCATGAGTTAGTACTTCACTTCCTTTTATTGCTGAGTAATGGTCCATGATCTGAACCATATTCTACTTATCCATTCATCAGTTGAGGGACATTTGAGTTTTTCTACTTTGGTGCTATTATGAGTAATGCTGCTATAAACATCTGTGCCCCAATTTTTGTGTGGACATACGCTTTCATTTCTCTTAGGTAGACACCTCAGAGTGGAATTGCGGCATCTTACAGTAACTCTGTGTTTAACTGTGGTGGTACCATTTTTCTTTACTGTGATTTAGATTTTTAAAGAGCCCTTGACTGAAGCAGGTCAGGGCTAGATGCAGGGAAACCAGTGAGGAGATCACTGCAGTAAGTTGGGTAGAGAGGGTAGTGGCTCGGACCAGGATAGCAGCAGCACAGGCAGGAAGAAGTGGGCAGATTCTGAGTCTTCCAGATCAAGCCAATAGCATTTCATGATAGCTTAGATGTAGAGAATAAGAACGTGAAGAGGAGCCGGGATGACTGTGGTTTGGAACTTCTAATAACTCTGAGGTTTTGTAGTGTTGAACCAGGGCCAAGGTGGCTGGTAAATGAGCCAGATGGCATGGTCTAGTAGAAAGAATGGGCTTCGAGGTGAGAAGTCTAACCTACCTGACCCGTGCTAGCTATGTGCCCTCAGGTCAACAGTGAAATGGGAGGAACCGAGTTTAAGGGAGGACGCTATCTGGCCTAGACCAGTTCTACCACTAAGTATCTGTGATGTCCAACAGGATACTTTCCCTCTTGGGTCCCAAGTTTCCCCAACTGGAAAATGGAGAAACTGGATGAAGTTCCCTTTCTTCTCTTCCCTGTGTCCCCCAGAGTGCATGGGCACATAACAGGAGCTCAGGGAATAAGGATTGGCTGAATGGCTGGGTGATATCTTCTCTGGGTTGATGTTTTCCAGGAACGCAGGACTTCCGCCATGACTGACACTGTGCTGAGCAACAGCTCCAACCGTTGGATGTGTCCCAGTGATCGGCCCCTTCAGTCAAAGTAAGTGTCTGAGTTTTCTGGACATGGCTCGTTTGGGATCAATGATGGCCTGACCTGTACTTGAGGGAAAAGGAATAGAGGAAAGGAATTTGTTTTCCTGGGGCGGGGGACAGAAACCTAGTGGGGTTCCCTCACAGAGATTTCTACCCTACCTCTCCTGCCTCCTAAGGTAGGAATTACATGGTTACATTCTAAGGTCCATGGCCTGGTTTAAAGGTGCCCAGGGGGAATGGAAAGAGCATTGAGCTGGTGGGCAACAGGGCAGGGCTCCAGTTCTGGTTTGAGCTAACTCACTGTGTGAGCATAGGTGAATTTCTTCTCTTCTCTGGGCCTATGGAAATTGGGCTATATCAGAGATTGTACACAGGGAGGCTGACTGACTTGCAGAAGTGGGTTTTTTATTTATATTTTTATCCTGATCATTTTAAAATTGAGAGATTTCCCTTAAAAGTCCTGATTTCTGGCTTCTCTTTGAAAAATCAGAAGACTGAGCCAGAACTTCACAGTCCCAACAATTCAGTAGGAGCTGAGCAGCAGCTGATGTCTTTACATTGGGCAGGAGTTCTTCAGTTTTCCACAGTCCCCACCACTCCCTATTACTTCCCCAATAGTTTCATCTACTTCCCTCATTTACATTAGCAACACATCCTGTTGAGATGCCTGGATTAAGTGACCTCCAAGGTAGTTTAGCTACCCCATTGTGTTACTTTTATGTGGGGGTAGTATTTTGGGGCTGATTTCAGAGTTTACATTCTGGGTGGGGCAGTTAAGGATCTGGTCACTTTTGTGAAAGTAATTAATGTCAGAAGGTGGCTATTTGCCAGTGGTCATGGCTCACTGAAGGAATGTGGAAAAGAGCTTTTTAGTAAAGATCCCTTCCTCATTGGAGACCAGTATTTCCCTAACCTTAGTCATTTGAGTACCTCCTTCAAAACCCTGGTGACACAGTGATTAAAGTACTTGTCTGCTAACCAAAAGGTCACAGGTTTGAACCCACCAGCCACTCCATGGGAGGAAGATGAGGCCGTCTGCTTCCATAAAGATTACAGCCTTGGAAACCCTATGACAAAATTTTACTCTGTCCTACAGGGTCAGTGTAAGCTAGAGTTGACTTGACAGCAATGGGTTTGCTTTGGAGATTTTAAATGAAACGTCACTATTACTGTTGTCTTTAAATGGACTTACTTAAATATATATATATAAACACTTATTTAACAGGGAAATTTTAGATCACAAAGTAAGTGGAAAACCAGTTCATGTTTTCCATAAGCAAAGATCATTGTAAAAAATAAATATAGTTAAAAGGACGTAACATTATTAAATTCCAGCTATAAACTGACTCCCAAATGCTGAGCCTGAGACCTGTTCTCCATCTGTTGCAAGCAGAGGTCTCAGAAAGATATAAAACACCAACCCACTGCCCTTGAGTCGATTCCAACTCGTAACGACCCTATAGGACAGAGAAGAACTGTCCCATAGGGTTTCCAAGGCTGTCAGTCTTTATGGAAGCAGACTGCCTCATCTTTCTCCCATGGAGCTGCTGGTGGGTTGCAGCTGCTGGTGGCTTTGAACTGCTGACCTTTGGGTTAGCAGCTCAAGGCTTTATCCACTGCGCCAGGACAACAACATGCTATAGAGAGGTGTTAAATACCAATCAGCACCAAACTGAGACTTTCTCCATGAGATAATCAGAAGGTTGAAAGGAAGATAGGAATGGTACTGTTTCTTTGTCATTCACTATTATTTAATGCCCTGTCGTTTAGTGTTTTCTGTACTTTATTAAATTGTTCTTTTCTTTCTGGAGCTTACTCTGTTACTTCTAGCTTCTCAGGTTGGGTTGTATTTTTACCTCATTAATATAAGCTTCCTCTCTTTTCTAGTATCAGCAATGAGCCATGTGAATTTCTCACAAAGTATCACATTCAAAACATCCCACAAGCTTCAATATGTAACGTTTTTATTATTTCTCAATTCTATGTATGTTTAAATTTCCCTTGTGATTTCTTCTTTATATCAAGAGTTATTTAAGGATGTGTTTTTAAATTTCCAAATGTTTGGGGATTCTTAACTAAGTAATTTATTTTTGTTACTGATTGCTAACTCAATTACATTGTGGTCATATGCTTTGATTTCTCTTGGATCAACACCTAGAACTGGAATGTCTCAGCTAAATGATCTGTGTATATTTAACTTGTTAAGGGACCACCAAACTTATTTCCAAACTCATTGTACCATTTTAAATTTCAACCAGGAGAGTCTGAGAGTTCCAGTTTCTCTATCTTCTCACCAACACTTGGTATAGTAAGGACTCTTAATTTTAACCTCTGATGGCATAGTGCCTAAGGCACTTGAGTGCTAACCAGAAGGCTGGCAGTTCAAACCCACCAGTCACTCCTCGGAAGGAAGATTGGGCAATCTACTTCCGTAGTGATACCGTCTCGGAAACCCAAGGAGGAGTTGCTATGAGTCGGGTCTGACTTGACGGCACATAACACCAGTGGGCGAGTGGGTGTGTAATAGCATTTCATTATGGTTTTAATTTTATTTCCCTACTGACTATTGAGGGAGCTCTGGTAGCATAGTGGCTAAGACACTTGCCTGCTAACCAGACGGCTGGCGGTTCAAATCCACCAGCCACTCCTCGGAAGGAAGGTTGGGCAATCCTACTTCCGTAGTGATACTGCCTCGGAAACCCAAGAAGGGGTCGCTATGAGTCGGGGCCGACTCGACGGCACATAACAACAACAACAACAACTGACTAATGAAGTGGATAGTCTTCTCATGTACTTTTTGTCATTCATATGAACTCCTTGGTGAAGTGTCTGTTCAAATCTGTTGCCCATTTTAAAATTAAATAACTGCTTTTCTCATTTGTGTTACAAAATCTTTATATATCACAGATACAAAGCCTTCTTGAATGTTCATCTTGCAAATACCTTCTTCCAGTCTGTGTCTTGCCTCTTCTTTTTTTCCTTTACATAGGCTTTTGAAGAGGGGAAGTTTTTTTATTTTGATGAAGTTCATTATATTGCTTTTTCTGTTTGCATTGTGGGAGCTCTGGTAGTGTAGTAACTAAGGCATTTGACTGCTAACCAGAAGGCTGGCGGTTCAAACCCACCAGCCACTCCTCAGAAGGAAGGTTGGGCAATGTACTTCCATAGAGAAACTGCCTTATAAGGAAGGGTCCTTATAAGTTGGATCTGACTCCATGGCAGTGAGTTTGGGTTTTTGTTGTTGTTGTTGTTTGTTTGTTTGCTTTGCAAGTGACAGGGATCTTGGAAAGTCCCCTTAGGTTTTTTTGTTTTGTTTTGTTTTTGTTTTAAGCAATTTCAAGACTTCATTTAAAAATATTTGTTTCAGTTTATCTGGAACCTAACAATATATTGGTGAAGGGCTTTTCTGCATGTGGAGTCTACCCATATTCTCCAAAGCTAAAATTCCCTTTCAGTTTACCATTTCTATCAAAAACTCCCTCCGCTTGTATGAGTTTACAGTGTTTTTTCCTTTTATATCCTAAAAAAAGTGAGAGATTTTCGCTCTCTCTTCATCTCTTTATTAATTACTAACTGATATTAAATTCATATACTTTTCAAACCCCCCATTCCCTCCGAGTTTTACGTTTGGAGACACTTTGGAAGTTAGTTGGTTTCCTTTTCAGTAGCAACCTCCTCATTTCCAGAGCCCTTCCCGTGACATCCTCCTGGAGTCAAATTTTTGCAGAGAATACTCCACCAGCCGAAAAGTGTGTCTGTGAGATGAACAGTTGCCTGAAGGGTGGATGAGAGGGAAATATTTATTTTATTTAAGAAATGTCAGTTAATTAAAATCCCATCCATCCATCAGAGTTTACTTTAGTCGATATGAAGCCAAACAATTTGACTTGGAATAAATTAGAATTATTGAAACAGTCTGGACACCGTTCGTGAAAATGCTCTGGGCGCCTGTGAAACATCTTGGCATTCGGAAGGCACTAGGGCTGCTTGATTGCTGCTGCATTTTCTTCCGATATTAAAATTATTTCCCAGTAAATGCTAAGGGGTGAATTACAGTCGTCACACACGCGATCCGGTCTGCTGCAGTGGCGATGTGTTAATGCAGACACTTCTAATGTCTTTCTCTAGTAAATGGAGAAAACTACTCATAATTAAGTGCTGGCTAGTCAGATACGCTCACTGCTTTTGTGATTTTCAAATGTCTTCCTCCCTCAGCCTCCTTGAATCTAATAATTCTGTTTGGAACCAGCCAGGGGCTAGGAAAGGAGTGAAAGCACCGCTCCCTGCTTGCTTACCATCAGGTGGAGGCTCCCCTCTCTGCTGTGGGAATCCATGGAGGGAAGGTCTGGTCTCGGACAGCTGGCATCTCTAGATAGCTTCTAAGTCCTCGAGCCAGATGGTGCCAGAGATGGGAGTGGAAACTGAGGTGCCAATGAAGGGCCTAGGCTGCCCCTGGTTGCATATCTTGTAAGTACAGGTACTGGTCTCCTTTCTAGAATGGAAGGACTTCATGCCCCGTTTCAGGAAGAAGCGGTTCTTTGGATGATCTAGTTCCAGGTGAAGGCTCCCTGCTCTGCCTCCACGAGGGCCCATCCCACCCCCAGAACCTGAGCACCGGAAACCAAGAACGACGGGGGTCAGGCTCTCATTAAGTGACTTCTCGCTAGTAACCACAAGCTGTTATTCAAATACAGAAATGATCAACTTGGTTACTTAATATATTGAACTGGTCAATTTAATCAAAGCTGTGAAAGTAATAATGCTACATTGAAACAGCCTCATTTTAGATATACTGAAGTGAGATAATAATGAATGGGGGGAAAATAGAAGTAGGTCATTGTAATTGGAACTGTGTGGTTGTTGCCTCCAAACAGTACTGGTATTAGCATGTTTCTTTTCTAACATTGCTCTGTTTTTTCCCTCCTCTTAACGTTACTCTCTTTTTCCTCCCCTCCTTTGCCTGCCTTCAGTGATAAAGAACAGTGAGTATTCTTTGCCGCTTTGATGTGTGTACACGCTCTATTTTCTCTCTCTTCTGATCTAGATGGCTTGTCCCTTAAAAAAGGAATTAGCACATTTCCCAATCTAAAAAAATTCCAAATTATTAAAAAACAAAGGCCCATCTCAGGAAAAAAAAAAAAAAAATGGAATTAATAAGACAAAAACACAACGAGCTGCTAACAGGATTAAAAGTGTTCCTTAGGAGAGTCCAAAATTCCACTCTGATCAGTAATTTGTGGGATTTCAGCAAGTCTGTTGACCACTCTGTGGCCTTGTTTCTCCAGCGTTTTGCAGGGGACCACTGTTCTTAGATAAAGACAGTGTTAGCTCAGATAACTGCTGTCGGTAGTAAGAGATGATGATGAACAGGACAGACCTTCTGGGATGCCCTGAGTTGTACACGCAGTCTCTGTCACCTCACTGGAGGTCAACCTGGTGGTCCAGTGAAGTGCCTTCCTCCTGGAGGCCTTATCTTGGCTCACAATCTTAGTGTTTTCAATTGGATTCGTTTCCTAAATATGCGTGACAGATTGGATGCTGGGCCCAGTAATGACTGCCTAAACTGCAGAGCAGGCCGGTCTTCCCGTGGCATGCACGCTTGCAACACTGCTGGAGCCATTGCCACCCTCCCCGTGACGGGAGGGGCATCACAGCACCACAGGTGGAGCCCTGGGGGCAGGAGGCTCAGGTCAGAGTGCCACACTGGTACTCGCTATGCCTGGGGCCTTCGGCCCTGGCTCTCTCGTTTGTAAAGTGGGTGTGCCCTTCCTCCCTCACAGGGTGGTGAGGGGATCCAATGAGACCCACAGGAAGCTTTTGTAAACTAAAATGCCAAGCAAAATCAGGTGCAGGTTTAAACGACACCCTTGCCTTCCCTTTGTGTTTACGCATGTAACACTGTCATAATTTGTTCAGCTTTTTGAGACCCAAATGACTGCATCCGCAGGTCCAGACTCTTCTAAAGGTTTACTTAACACTGATAAACATGTAACCAGAGGCCTGGAAAACTCTCCCTCCTGCTCTGTGCCTCAGTTTCTCCATCTGTCAAATGGGAGCTTTGAGCAAGCCGACTGCTACAGAGCATTTGAACGCTCTGTAACTTCTGTTGGCTGGTGAGCCCCTGGCCCGGCTGGGTCTGCTTTTGATGAATATGCTGAGTTTTATTCCCCAGATGCACCAGAGAGACACAGAGAAGGCGTCAGATTAGAAATAGGAACATCACAAGGGAGCAGTTTACGACTCAGAGGCCCCTGATGCTGAAGGTTGAAGAGCAGACTGTCCGTCTGCCTTGCCTCCTTGCCTCCTTTCCTCCTCCCCTCTTCTTTCTTTCCTTCTTTTATTAACAAGTACTCAGTGCCTACTATGCGCTGAGCACTGTGCTAATTACCAGGGATACAGGGATAGTTGAAGTATGAGCGGGAGGAAAACCAGCATGAGGGTTTGTTGAGTGAGGTCTAAACAAACAGTCACCATCCAATACAGTCCAGGAGCTATAATAGTAGAAACACAATGAGCTATAGGAGCACAAAGACAGACATCTAGCCCAGATCTGGGGGTCATCAGAGGGGAGGGCTTCCTGGAAGAAGTGACATGTCAGCTGAGACCAGATGAAGGAGGAGAGAGATGGGGAAGAGACTGAGGAATTCCAGAGGAACTCCAGTAGGGGGCAGAGCCTGTGCCAAGTCCAACCGTGAGAGAGAACATGGGATTTTAGAAGTGCATGGAGTCTAGTCTGGCTGAAAGGTTAGCAGGAGCCCATGGTCCCCTTGGCATTCTGTGGGTGTGTGGGAGAACTGCAGTATCCCTTCTGTACCCTGTGAGTCCAGCTGGGATAAATGTCACCCACAAAGGCCTTGACATCAGCTGGCCACGTGTGAATGGTGTGGTGGGTGGCCGTCCTCCCTTCCCCAGCCTGGCCTTCAGCATCCATTAAAAGCTCTTCACTGAGCTGTAAAGAGGTTTCCTGCTGACACCTGCCTATAGGTGTCCTGGGGAAAGAGGAGAGGGTGGAGAAGAAGAAACAAAGGAAAAAGGATTCATTTAATGTTCCAGCGCCTCCGAGCCCTGACAGCACTGCCATCACCCCACTCCTTTTGGGAGTTATAATTTATTAATAGAGACATCTGGCGGGGTATTATGTGGCCATTGTGTACATGGAATGAAGGATCAATGTAGGAGGCAGCAAGGAGGTGGCAGCTTTTTAGGGAGAAACATCTGGGAGGGTTCCCACCTCGAGTCAGGACTTATCTATATATTTATTTTGGTCTTGGTGGCTGCTGTGAGGCTGCCTTTGGTTGGGGTGGGGGTACCATCTGGCCCTTGGATGCATCTGAGCAGGTAGATTCAGGTAGCAGATGACGCATGCCTGGAAGCCTGACTTCTCGGGACCACGCCCTCTCCACGTTTCTCTGCAATTCCTTTCCTTTCTCTGAGTCTCAGACATCTGGGAAATGAACAAGTCAACTACAGTGAAGTTTAGACTTTCTTGTTAGCAAATTTTTGCATGAAGTTTTATTCAGAAGCTAAATAAATAAGACGGGAGCTCTGGCAGTGTAGTGCCTAAGGCACTTGACTGCTAACCAGAAGGCTGGCGGTACAAACCCACCAGCCACTCCTCGGAAGGAAGGTTGGGCATTCCTACTTCCGTAGTGATACTGCCTCGGAAACCCAAGGAGGGGTCGCTATGAGTCGGGGCCGACTCGATGGCAAATAACAACAACAACAACAACAAATAAATAAGACAGGTAAGAGTGGAGCTTTGGTAGCGTAGTGCCTAAGGCACTTGACTGCTAATCAGAAGGCTGGCAGTTCAAAATCACCAGCTACTCCTCCGAAGGAAGATGGGGCAATCTACTTCCATTAGTGATACTGCCTCAGAAACCCAAGGAGGGGTCGCTATGAGTCGGATCCGACTCAATGGCACATAACAACAACAGCAGCAAAGAGTGGAACTGGAGAGTGATTGTTAATAGAGGAAAATATTAAAAATATCATAGTGAACTCCACGCAGCTGTAATTGAAAATAATTCCAAACTGTAAAATAAATGGAGTCTCCCAAGCTTCACTTTTTTTCTTTTTTTTGCCATAGTAGATACTGTCCTGGGTAGGTTTTGCTGTGTTATGAACCAAATTAAAACTCGGTGGCTTGGAACAAGTTACTCTTCTTGGGGATTGGGCTCAGCTGGTGGCTCTGCTGATCTTGGTGGGTCTGGCTCACGCTTTGAAGGGTTGGCTGATCTAGGATGCCTGTGGCTGGAATGACTGCTCTCTACTCACTTGGTTTTCATTCTCCCATGGGCTGTGCTGGGCATGGGCTTGCGGTGATAGCACAGGTGTGAGAGCGTGACCAGGATACCCTGACACAACGTCACTTCCTTGCATTTTATTGGCCAAAGCAAGTTACAAGTTCAACTGGATTCAAAGGGTAGGGAAATAGATGCGGATGCTTTGGAGAGAGGAATGTCAAAGTCATATGTCAAAGGGTATGGGCAAGAAGAGGGTGAAGTATTGGGGCCATCATTGCAATGAACTGCATGTCATGCCTTTATTGAAGTATCAAATCCTGAATCCCAATTTCTGCAGGTAGAGTCAGAAATCTGTGTGTCATGAGCTCTCTAAGTGACTCTTAGGCACACTCAAGTTTGGGAAGCATCACTGAATGTCACAGGTCATCCCACTGCCTGGAGTAGCTTTAGGGAGCCGTGCCCAGATGTTATCATTATCTTTTCCCAGTAAAGGAGTTTTGGTTCTAGGACAGGCACTAAAATGCCCTAAAATTGGTAACACTTGTGTCTGTAGGGAGCATCCAACCAAATCGTCTCTCCCCTACAGCTTCCGCCCTTCCCTCCACCTCCACGCTCCCTCTGAGCATCTCATCCTGTGCACGGGCCGTGGCAAATAGCTCTCTGCAGGTTCACCAGCCGTCAGCAGGTGCTACAGAGACCTGCTCTGTTCATCGTCTTAGGGGAAATATGCTAGTTTCCATTCCCATTTACAGTCAGCTTTTTATTATTATTGTTGTTGAAAATATGCACAATAAACATCCACCCGTTGAACAATTCCTGCATGCATGGTGCAGGAACATTAATTACATTCTTCAAGTAGTGCAACCATTCTTATCCTCCTTTGCAAAACTGTTCCTCTCTCACTGACATAAACTCACTGAGTTTCCTGAGGACTCTTGGTGTCTGTATAATTTACTGATCTACTGTGGGCCTCAAAATCACACCCATTAAAAAAAAAAAAGGGTCTGCAAGCAACAGTAAGATCTGCACAGGTGGTCAGTCTCGTCTGAGTTCAGGAGACACAGACAGCCGTCAAAAGGAGGCTGGTGGTGAGTCTAGGGCAGCTCACAGCTGAAAGCTCAGGGGAGATTGTGACACTGAGCCAGCTGGCTGCCTTTCAGAAAGTCAGGAGAGCACAAAAGGTCAGAGCACAGGCTTTTTTCCCCAGGGTTGGCTTTGCTACTTCAAGCTGTGTGACCTTGGGTAAGTGATTAATCTCTCTGAGCCTTGGTATTCTACAAAGGAGAATAATGCCTACCTCCTAGGATATTGTTAGAATTCAATGAGACAATGTGTAGAAACGTAAGATAAATCTTAACTCCACTTGACAGATGACAAATTGGAGTTCAGAGAGATGAAGTAAGTACTTTTCGCAAAGTCAAACAGCTCTAGGAGTTGAATCCAGGCCTGTCTGAAATCAACGTGAATTCATTTCTTCCACTCTGTCCTAATGTCTTGATAGGTTCTGGGTCTAAGTTCAGTGTTCCCATGCTAGGAAAGGAAATTTGGGCACAAGAAGACAAAGAACTGGCCCAGGAGGGGTATTTCTGAAAGTTCATTTTTCAGCATCGCTTCTACTTCAGGTCACATCAGATTGCCTGGACATCTTCCTTTTGGACTCACTCACTCTTACTGTCCACTGAATAGCTAAGTCAACAGGATGTATTCATGTGCAAATGGGCAGGGAACTGAATTTG